TTTGCTTACTGAACTCTTGCACAATAACAAAATGCTTTTCTTATTATCTGTTTATCTTCCCTAACCCCACAATGTGCAGCGTGAAATGTGTGCATTTTATACATATAAGAGCTGACAATGTTCTCTAGAAGTGGTCAGTCTCCTACTTGGTTCTGTACTCCAGACAGGTGTTCCCTTTAAAGTTCTTATCTCTTGCAAGTAACATGTAGTTCTTACACTATAGCTCATTAAACTAATTGTTTGAGGTGGACAGTGGAGACAAGACAGCTCAGCAGTTAAGAGACCTTTATGCTCTTTCAGAATACCAGGGTACAGTTTTCAGCAGCTACACCTCGTAGCTGTAACTCTAGCTTCAGAGGAGAATCTGACACCCTGTTCTGGCCTCCTCCGGCACTCACATACATTCAAGAACACGAACAAATACACACACAGGAGGACAAATCTTTTAAAAATATAATTTATATGTCAGCATTATACTATTAAATACAAAGCACACAAAGAGGGTGCAGTGGTTCATGCCAGTAATCCCAGCACTCCAGAAGTCAAAGAGACAAGTGTGGCCATCCTGGTCTACACAGTGTTTCTGGCTAGCTAAGGACAGTTAGAGTCTGTCTTGAAAGATGTAAGGAGGGCGGGTGGGTGAGTAATAGAGCAAGACACTCTTTACAGGAATTTTTAAAAATGCAAACCATAGATAAGACTAATCAGAAAGCAAGAAATTTGTGAAAATAAACCTACAAATAGGAGGAAGCCAACTAAAACATTGATGGCAATAAAAATTACAGCTGAAACTAAGTGTCAAACACAACAGGAAGGGCTCAGTGGTAAACACTTGTCAAGCATTGAGGCTACCAGGTAAAAAAATAACTTCCTGTGTTAGCCCACACTTGCAATCCTAGCATTTATAAAACAGGGGCAGAAGGATCACAAGTTAAAGGCCAGTGTGGTCTACAGAGTCCTATACCTGATCTATACAGGTTTATATAGTGACACAGACTTAAAAAGCCAGTCAGGCAGGGTGGTGATTCACAACACATTCCTATAATCCCAATACTCTAACACTACAACATAAGCTTGCTTTGTTTTCTGAGACAGGTTCTCCTGCAGCCAAGGCTGGCTTCAAACTGGCTTTATAACTGAGGTTGACCCTTAACTTCTGGTCCTGAGTACACATCCAGTTTAGTGGGTTCTAGGTTCTGAACTCAGAGCTTGAGGCATGCTAGAAGCAGTCTACCAAAGACCACATCCTAAACCCAACTTCAAATTCTTAGCCTCCTGCCTTCACTTCCTGCGTATTAATTTAATTCGTGCAGGTGTGCACACCATGCCTAGGGCTTCTTGCAGGCAAGCACTGTAGCAACTGATTTGCATCCCCAGACTATGCTGTTTGTTTTGTTACCTGAGAAAGTCTAATATAGTCCAGGCTTCAAACTCTTGATTCCCTTTCCTCTATCTGCTGGGATTAAAGGTGTGTGCCACAAATGCCCAGCTCAGGTGGCACACACCTTTAATTGCAGCACTCCGGGAGGCAGAGGCAGGTGGATCTCTGAGTTCCAGGCCAGTCTGCTCTACAGAGTGAGTTATAGGACAGCCTGACCTATACACTCTGTCTCAGGAAACAACAATACAAAACCCCACCTGAAAAATAGGACTAGTATGATGTGACCGTCTAGATGAGAGTTAAAACCCAAGCTGTAATTGTTCTATGATAAGGTGTTACTATGACAAGGTGTTATTTATGTCAGTGGGAGCACATGCCAAGGAAAATTTGTTGGAAGTCGGAGAACTGCTTTGGAGAGCTCTCTCACTGAAGGTCCTAGGGACTGAACTCAGTTTATCAGGGTTTCCAACAATGGCTTTTTCTCACTGAACCATCTCACCTGCCACATGGGTAAATCCGGGATGGGGGGACAAGAGTATGTAAAGAGCTTCATAGTATCTGTAGTTTCAGATACTGACAGTCTTGGAACACATACCCTGCCCATAGAGAGCTAATTCTTGTATGGCCTATTTGACTCAAAACCCTTCTACTTGGTAACAAATCCAAAAAGATGCAGTATTTTAATCCTTAAAACTCTATGAAATTGAGCTGGGCATGGTGGTGATACAGCCTTTATTTCTGGCACTTGTGAGGCAGAGGCAGGCTTATCTCTCTGAGTTGCAGCCTGGTCTAGCAGCCAAGGCTATACAGTCAGACCCTGTCTCAAAAACAAAACAAAACAAAAACAAAAACATCTGCAACGTTATTACAAAGTTAGAATCTAAAAGTGTGAAATATGTTTACTCCTAAACTGACTTTGACTGGTAATCACCTGTCTACTAATTTAATGTATGCTAAATACAGCTTAATTAAAAAGCCTTTAAAACTTGTGTAACAAATAGAGTCACCAGTTCTGAGACTTTCAAAGTGTTTTAAAGTTTTAACTCAGTCCTTCATTCATTCATTGAGGGACATGCTAGAGTGTATATTCAGAGGTCAGAGGAAAACCTAAGGGATTAAGACTTCGTCTACTACCACCATGTGGGTCACCAGGGTCAATCTCAGGTCATCAGACTTGGCAGTAAGCACTTTTATCCACCGAATCACCTTGCTAACCCAGACTGTGAGAATTTTGGTTTTCTAAACATAGAAAAAAAAAATCTAAAGACATCATCAATTTTTCAACAGTATCAAAAAGTGTAGCATTAATCTTTTTTTTTTAAGTTACTTTTTTAAAAAAACATTTATGTGCAGATGTGTTGTACCACGGAGGTCAAAGGACAACTTTTGGGAATGTTCTCTTTCTCCAAATGGAGGTTGGAGGCTGGGGTATCTTCCTTGCTGGGGGAGTCAAGGGTGTCTGCCCTTTATGATAATGTACTACTAATCACCAGTTTTTATGTATATGCTCCCAGCCTCTCTCCTTCAGCACTGTACAATGAAGTGTTTCTTTTTCTGCCTTTCAAATGTAGAACCAAAGCTGGGCAGTAGTGGTGCCTTTAATTTCAGTGCTCTAGAGGGAGGCAGAGGCAGACAGAGTTCAAGGCCAGCCTGGTCTACAGAGGTGAGAAAGGGGAGAAAAAGTGGAACCAAGAAAGCTACAAATTCACAGTCACATTTTTCCAGAATACTTAGGTACAATATATTCTGAGAAGATCCAACATAGTTACTTACATTCATTTGTCATCCTTGCTAATAGGTAACTCCAGCTCAAAAGCTCTACTCAAAACCCAGTTGTTTCTTGCCCCCACTCTCTCTTCGATTAATTCCCTCCCCTCCCACAAGCATTCTCTGTTCCTTCTCAGCTCTACCTCTGGCACTAGAGAGCTGTCACCCTTGTCATAGGATTCATTTATAAGCTTTAAGTCAGAGGGTCTATCATATTCAAAGTGGCTTCTCCCATTACATTCACGTAACACCCCCCCCAATCATTCTCATTAGGATGTCCCCTCACATTCTCTGCATGACAATTGCTAATCACTACCAAAATAACACTGAAAATACTGTCATTTCTATTTGAGGAGTGGTGTGAAATGTGTATTTGAGAAAGGAGGTATCACACTGTATCTGGAAGTCTATTCTGAAGCCCAGGATGTCCTTGAACTTGCCTAGATCTTCTTGCCTTTTTACTGGGATTACAGGTATTCACTTCCATGCTTTGCCAACACTGACATCTCATCAAGGTAAGTCTTATTCTCAGTTCCTCAAACACTTGGTTAAATGTCTGGCACCATTCTAAAGATTGGCAAAAGTTTGTGGAATAAATACTGTCCTAAAAAGAATGATCATTACTAGTAAAATACACAACAAAGGAAATGCTGAAGATTTTACACACAAGAACTGGAATGAGCTAATATACAGAAAAGATTAGCAAAGACAAAATTCCAAATAGATGAGGTTCTGGGTCAGAGTGGACATGAACAGCACTCAACCCAGATAACTTTAACTCTGTCCAGGACTAACAACAAATTGTTCCCCACCTCAACTACAACTTTGTAACTCCACAATTTTTCAGCACTCAACTGCTCATTAGGAGTGCACGTACCAACATACTTCCATTATTTCGTATTCTCTAAGGCATACCAAATGAGGAGCAAAGGGATGGCTGAAACCTGATAGTGCAAGTACCAGGAGCAGAAACAATAACGGCAAGCATTTTCACTTGTGAGGCGCTTGAAAACATGGAAAATATGGAGATCAAACTTAAAAACACATCCGTAAGCATGTAGCCCCACAGACTGGAACCCGCACAAAAATGATCAAGCACCTGACTGCCAGATGTACAGGCCACTCAATAACATCTCTTGCCCGACCTATTCCACTCAAAGTCTAATCTCCATTACAAGGCTCACCAGCCCCATTCCCTGTAGTACAAAACCGCAAATGAATACAAAACAGGTCAAAGAATGGCACGAACATCTCTTCATACCTGCCCAAAATAGCAAAAACCATCCCCCCCCCACCAAAAAGAAACCAACAACCAACCAAACGGCTCAGTAATCCCTAATCGGCAAGCTCTAGAAACCATGCAAAACCAACCGTCCTATCTTTGGGAAGTCAAAAGATGCTGACTCCAAAGATAAGTCTCTGGCACCAGCCCACCTCTCCTGATTATTCAGAAAAACCAGGGCTTTCCAGTTTGGAGATCATCGCACTACTCAAAAAAAGATAAAAAAATAAATAAAAATAAATAAACAAATATCGTCTCCCTGCAGGAACTCGCAATCGATCCCTCAGGGGGGCAGTGGCGCTCCAACCACCCGACCAGAACCCAGGCAACAGCGACCGGGCACAGCCCTTCCATGGGAGCTCTCTGGGCTCTCAGTACCGCCCAGCGCAACCCGCCCTGGCAGTGACTGAAGTGAGGGTTGTGGCAGAGCTGGGCCTGCCCGGCCCGGGGGCGCGGCGAGACACGGGGGTGGCGTTTTCTTCTCTAGCCCCCGGCTGCTAAGGCGGACCCGGAGCCTCCTCCCCAGGCCTCCCCGGCCCTGCACCCTCGGCCAGCTAGCCGGCCCCTCACCTGGCAGAAGCTCCTGCAGTAGTTCAAAGATGAGACCTCGGACACCTCCTGCTCCCTCAGCTCAGTCTCCAGCTGCCAGAGACACGGTCGCAGGCCCGGGGCTCCCGGCGCGGGAGATGCAGGGCGATGACTCCTAGCCATGGACTCAGTCTCGGATCCGGCTCCGGCTCCCGGGACCTCCGGAGCCTCAGCCCCGGCCCCGGCGGTGGCGTCTCCCTTTCCGTCCGCCATCTTCCCACGGCCCAGCAGCGCGTAGGCAACCAAACCACGTGACTCCGCCTGGACCCGCCCCCGATCGCCCGTGAATAGTGACGCACTCCCTGGCGACGCTGGCGCCAACTTTATTCCGTCACTAGGACGCCGAATGTTGGTCCTCTCAGAAGTCTCCACCGCAGCCGCCTTAGCAACAGCCTAGCAACGACGAGGTTCTAGCGGCCCTGGGTTCTACAGGCCCGTCAGACTCGAGGAGCGCCAAGGGCCTAGAGACAATCGAGCTGTGAGAAATATGTCAGCCGAGCTGCGTACTGAAGAGCGAGGGAAAGGTATTCCAGAGTGAAGCCTGGAGAAAAGCATCCCCGGTTGGAGGAAAATAAATAAAGGCCTGAACTGAAAACAAGCTCAAGGGGATTTATTTTATAATGGGAATGTCAATATTAGTCAACGGAGAAAGGATCATCCAAACATATATGGCGCTGAGACGATTCTACTAAAAGGGAGAAAAAAATTGGGGGCGGGGAGGGCGGGAGTGGTTTGAGACAGGATTTGTCCCTGGCTGTCCTAGAACTCACGATATATAGACCAGGCTGGTCTCAAACTCAAAGAAACCCTGCCTCTGCCTCCCGAATGCTAGGGTTAAAGGGTGTGCGTCACCAACGCTGAAAAAATAGATATTTTACTAATATCCAAAGTTTATGGATAAAGGCTTAAAAAACGGCCTGGCGAGCCAGGCAGTGGTGATCCATGTCTTTAATCCCAGCACTTCCAGCACTCGGGAGGCAAAGGCAGGCAGATATCCGTGAATTTCATTGAAACCAGACTGCTCTACAGAGCTACTTCTAGGACAGTCAGCGCTACACACAGAAACCCTGTCTCCGAAAAAAAAGAAAAAAGAAAAAAAAAAAAAACAACACAGAATAAAGCAGCACATCCCAATGAAAATTCAGGCCACCCTGGCTTCATAGCAAAAAAGTTTCTGCCCCCCCCCCAAAGAAAAAGAGAAGGAAAAGAAGCTGTAATATCAGCATTCGTAAGGCAGTTCCGAAGCCACTAAATGGCCTGAGTTGCTTTGCTACACAGCAGGGCCCTCATCAAAAGAAAACAATAAAAACAAACCAGGTGGCACACACCTTAAATTTAATCCCAGCACTGGGGAGTCAGGTGATCTTTGAGTACGAAGGCAGCCTGGTCTACAGAGCTAGGACAATTAGAGCAACAATCAGGATGTGGTGGTGCATGCCTTTAATCCCAAACAAACGAAAAACTAAATTAAAAAATTACAACATGTATTTATTTACGTACGGGGAACTGTGATGTGTGTGAGTGCCTATGTGCCACACTGTTCAGTGTAGTGATCAGAAGACTACTCTTAGGAGTGCTCTCCTTCCACCACGTGGGTTCTGAGGATCCAGCTCAGGTCATCAGCCTTGGTGGCAGGTATCTTTACTTGCTGAGCCATCTCATCAGGCCCTAATTTGAATTTTTTAAAAAGAAATTTAAAGGAAAACAAACGCGAACAACAACAACAACAACAAAAGAGTTCCCTGGGCAAGGAAATACTAAGTACAAAAGTCATGAGGTTTGTTTTTCTTGTTTAAGAATGGCAAAGCTCCTGTAATCACAGCACTTCAGTGAGAGACACACAGGAGGGGGAGGGAGGGTGAAGGGAAGAATGACGCTGGAGCCCACCGTGTGGAATTAACTGGTAAAAATGAGAAAAGTCTTTGAGAAAGCCAGAGAAGGTAGCACCCAGAACACAAGAGATTTAGTCTAGTACATAAAGGAGAGGTACACATTTTAGTTTTTCGAGACAGGGCTTCTTTGTGTAACAGTCCTGGCTATCCCGGAACTCGCTCTGTAGACCAGGCTGATCCCGAACTCAGATCTTCCTGCCTCTGCCTCCCAAGTGCTGGAATCAAAGGCAAGCACCGCCACTGCCCATCGAGAGATACACTTATTTCAACTGGAGGGAGTCTATAAACAATGGGTCCAGATGAAGGTAAATGTATAATGTGATATAGGAGATTTGAGGGTCATGACCTAAATGCTCCACCCCCTCCATGAAATATAAGTCATTTTGCCGATGAGTTGTTTGTGAACTTACTACAAAAACAGAGTCACCTGGGAGGAGGGATCCTCATAAGAGGAAATGTGTCCATCACACTGACCTGTAAGCATGTCTGTGTGACATTTTAAGTATGTTGACTGATGTGGGATGGCCTAGCTCATTGTGAGTAATGCCACCATGGGCAGATGGTACAGGAAGGTATAAGCAAGGTAGCTGTATATGAGCATGGATGCGAATCAGAAACTTTCCTCCATAGTTCTGCACTCTGCTCCTGTTTAAGTTACTGTCATAACGTTGCTCAATGATGAGCTGTGACTGGGGCCTGTAGGCCAGATAAACCCTTTCTTCTCCAAGTTCCTTTTTTTTTTTTTTAATCACAACAATAAAAGTAGGGCAGTCATTAAGTCCAAATTGAGCTTCTGAGACAAAAACAAAACTTTGTTCAAGTTGTTTGGGAGTGAGATAGGAGACAATGCATACTAATAGGCACCTGAAGACTCTAGGGCTATGCATTTATTCAAGAAACACTCATTGATCACATAAATTGTTTCTGGTTCTGCCCTATAAAAAAAAATCCTGAGTTTTGTATCCCCTTTGTTCCCTAGAAGTTACAATACAGTTAGTTCATATACACTTTTTGTAGTTATGCCCTGCTGCATCCCCAAGAAAATTGGGTCCTGGACCCCTGGCTAGCGTCAGCCAGGAAATGAAGAAAATGACAACTACACAGACACCTATATCTAGGATCAGGTGCAGGTCTCTAAGGCTACCACCATCATGGCAACCTGGAATAGGACAACTCAGAGGGAGGATTTAGCTTATCTCTGTAGGAGGTCTCTCTGTAGGCCATAGCCTCAGGCTATAAACATCCTGGAGGAGGAAATTGCAGCTGCCAGTCTTTACCTAGACTGATCGATTGTTCTTAAACACCTAGACTCCCAAGAAAAACTTAGTTCCCTTCAGCCTGACCCATACGGATAAACAGCTTTGCCAACTGGTCCTTGACAGGCTTTGTCCATATCTAAAGATACATTTGCTCAGGACTTTCACTCACTCAGAGCATCTTCTGCTCCCTACAATAGCCAATGTTATAAAAGGCAGTCCTCCCAGCAAAACAGCCACCATCTATATCAGAAAAACTGTGCCTGCTTTTAAGAGTCTGTAAGAATACAGCTTGTTATGCCGGGCCTTGGTGGTGCATACCTTTAGTCCCAGCACTCGGGAGGCAGAGGCAGGCAGATTTCTGTGAGTTCCAGACCAGCCTGGTCTACAAGAGCTAGTTCCAGGACAGGCTCCAAAGCAATACAGAGAAACCCTGTCTCCAAAAAACAAAATCAACAACAACAAAAAGAATACAGCTTGTTGATGCCTGACACCTTTTCATAGAAAAGGAAAATAAGGAGGTCATTAAACCTACAACTGTGGTTCTAGCTGCTCCTTCAAGGCATTTGTATGCAATTTTGCCCTCGTTGTACTTGGCCTCAGAGGTATTAGAGGGTATAGGCTGGGTGGGGAAGTTCATTGAAGAGAAACCCTATGCAGCTATGGGGAAGCCATCATCTATGCTGGGTGAAAAGATTATCCAGTGTGACAACTTTGGGGTCATCCATGCTTTTTCAAGAAGCCTCTCATTCATGCTTTATAAGTACGCCCCATAAAACCATTACTTTCCCAGGGTGAACTTTAGTAGAATTGTACTTTGGTTGGCATTGGGATATTATGAAGAGGGAGTAGACATTGTCTCCCTTAGGAAAGAACCCTTCAAATATCCTAGTTCTGTTAGAATATGAGCAGAAACATGGAAGGTGTCCACCTCTTTTGCAGTTAGAGACCAGCAGAGACTTAGATCTTCCATAACCTACCAGCAGTAGGCAGAGACTTAGATCTTCCATAACCCAGGAAACTACTGTATTTGTTGGTAGCTGGGTTTTCTGTGGGCTGAAATAACCCTTTGTAGTTTGATGCTGCAAATAAGTTCTTCCCATCCTATTAGAAATAAAGGCACCAAGATACTTTCCCAAAGACCATACATGACCACCGAAGAACATCTTGATGAGAAAATTTAAAAGGAACACAAGGACACCTTGACCTTTGGAGCATACTCCAAGTATAGTGTAGGATGACATGAGGTGGTACTCAAAGAAAGGAACTGAACGATGATGTCACAAGAGGAGAGGACTGAAAATGCACAGTGCACAAAGAACCCAGGGGGCTGCTGCTCACTCCCTTCTAGTCAGCCGGTTCCACATTTGCCCGGAGTGTATTTTGCTTTGTTTTGCTACATAAACTTCTCTTGAATTTTATATCTTGATCCAATTCTTTCCTTAAGAGAGAAGACAAGAAGAGAGGAGAAACAGCTTATACATCTCCCATGTTCCCCTTGGCTGAAGCTGTGTATTTCTCAGTACACTTTTATTAACACATAGAAGACAAGAGCATAGCCCAAGTGTGATCGCCTTTAATCAAAGCACTCCAAGGGCAGAGGCAAGTCGATCTCTGTGAGTTCAAGGTCAGACTGGGCTATACATCAAGTTCCAGGCCAGCCAAAGCTCCATGGTGAGACCCTTTCTTAAAAAAAAAAAAAGTGTGTGTGTGTGTGTGTGTGTGTGTGTGTGTGTGTGTGTGTGTTTGTGTGTGTGTAAGGGGTTTCAGTGAGATGGTGCCATTGTTTTCCATTAATTTGAAAAATAGTCACTAGATTAACCCATAATTTGAATGGCCTGCTGGATGGGACCAACATCAGTTCTAAACTGACCATTCAATCTACCCATGTCTGAGTCAATTTTATGTCACTAACACAAATACTTAAGTTAACTTATGAAGAGAAAGGCTAATTTGGCTTCTATTTAAGAAATTTCAATCCATAATAGATTGGTCCCATTGCTAGCATATTGAGGTAGGAAACTTAAACTTTGATAAAACCTCTTACTTCATAGCCTAGAAGTGAAAAGGGAGAAGATGGTCCAGGTCCCCAAATCCCACTGTAGGGTACATTCTTAATGACCTGAACACCTTCCAATACCCTTCTAATACATCTGAAATTTCCAAATTGGGGATCAAGTCATGGGCTCATGGAGGATACTCAAGATCCACACTGTAAGTGGTCATGCTCATTGGCATGGAGTTA